TGTGTCCTCATTAGGACACAGTTGGCATTGGAACAGAAAAAGTTGGCATTGGAACAGAAAAAGTTGGCATTGGAACAGAAAAAGAAGGGAAATCTTCCACTCGTTTGGAGGATAAGGATTTCCCTTACTTTGGAGTTATTTCCTCTAACTTTCTTGTTTCTTTTTTTTTAACTTAAGGAAATCCTAACAGAATATAAATGGAACAAAAGTAACTTATTTACATTAAGTTCCCAAGGTCCATATTGAAAGGGGCCTGTTATAGCTCTACAGCAGGGGTCTGCAACCTTTTACACACCTAGTGCCATTTTTACAACCATCAGACACCCGGGTGCCAATGAACTATAGTGCACTGTAGTGTTAGTTAAATTTAAATTTTTTCGGCTGAAATCAGCCGTACCAGCCTGAAGTGAATAGCCGAATGGTGTTCGGCTCACTTCACTTCTGATCGGTCATTCACTCGGCTGCCCTCGGCAGCTTTGTGAATGGACCCCATAGTTATACTGCTAATAGTAAGTTAAACTCACTAATTATTTGAATGTGTTTACCTTGCCAATAGCAGCACAACTGCAAGTGAAAAAAAATGTAATAAGTGGTGCACACACAAAACATATTTACATGAACTAAAAGGTAAACTGGACTTACAGTTTTAGTGTGATCCCTGTGCGTGTATCACCTTCAGACCAGCCTTAAACACTGCATCTTCATAAAACTCAGCTTTTTTTACATACCTGATGCAGAGTTGAAACACAGGAGACTGAAGGGGTTAGGGCTGTAGACTTCTAACTGTAGACTGCTGGCAGGTATCTTCAGGGAGCCTGGAGGAGTCTGTTTATGGATCAAGATACTGTAGGGGGCCTATGTGTGTGTGTGCAGTTATGAGGGATAATGTTGGGTGGGTGAGCAGTATGCAGAGGGCATGTGGTACATTTATTACTATTGCAGGGTGATCCTCCGACACTGTGCTCTGTGCTCTGATTACTGATGATGGGCAGTATGGTGACAAAATCTGTAGAACCTCAGTAGAACCTCTGGTCGGACACGGGGTGAGCGACACTCCTTCTTCTGTCCTGCGGGCTGCAAGTGAAGGATCCACCAGGCAGGAGCTTGGACAGACCGTTGAGGGCCTCCTCAGCATGGCTCTGTGCACCAATGTCATCTGGCTACGTCATGGAGATGGGTGGGTGAGACTTAAATTTGACAGCTGGCTCGAGCTAGCTCTCAATTGCAAGTTAGTTAAGTTAAAAATGAGTTCACTGGCCAGCATGTGTGGCCGGGGGTTGTCAACCCCTGCTCTACAGGCTTCCTGGAATTACCTAACTGCCAGTGGGTTCTTTGAACCAGAACTCACACCATTTCCTGAAGTTGTGAAATGGCATCCTTCAGCTCTGAGCGAGAAGCTCACCTTAGGTAGGTAACATGCCTTTTTTTACTTAAATTGATACAAAAAATTGCATTTCTGTAGGAACTATAAAAAATTATGACATAGCCAGCTGTTATTTAACTTTGTTCTAAAAGTACTTTCCAGCATTCTCAGTATTATTCTTTCCTTGCTGCCAGAACCCCAGTCTCGTATAATAAACAAGTCATCAGACAGAAATATTCTGTATTTTCTTAAATGCCATAGAATACACTATGATTGCTGCATTGGATGTGGTGTATTATTCTAAGAACTATTACGAGTAATTAGGATATTTGTTATAGATGTTATCATGCCTTTCTAACAAGCATTTCAGTGAACCTTAAAATATATTTAGGATACTTGATCAAAATATTTCTAAATTTGGCACCTCCATCTACTCAACAAGTTTTCCACAAGTTCAGATTAGCTTTTTCTATTTATTCTACATTCTGGCTAGATTGTATGCATGGCTAGAAAACCTTGGTATTTATAAACAGGGCAGATCAGTTTTCTAGTATACCATATGAGATAAATGGCAGATGAAAAGATTGTCTATTTCTTGAATGAGGCTATTGTAAGCTTCAAAAGTCAGGTGTGACCACAGTAAACAATTGCCTTTCCTTATATTTATTGCCAATTTTCAGGTGCATTATGTGTTGCAAGCCAACTTCACTCTTCCTGATTTTATTAAATTTAATTAAGTTTCCCATAGAGAGCTTGTTAACAGGCATGTAGATGATCAGTTACAGTAGAATATAAGGTTGACCTTTCATGCAAAATTGGAAAGCATACCATTTCAACAAGTACATGGGGAAGTGACATGCTGATAATGCCACGCACAGCTTTCATAATAAACATCAGCCCGGAATCCTGGGATAAGAGCTGCAACAGAAATTGCATGTGGTCATTGATAACCAGTCAAGAGGACCTGGGAAATTTCTGCAATGTTAAGGTTTTGCTAAGCAAAGTAATTAATGTTCTGTGACAGCAAGTTGGCTTATCCCTTATGTGTATGTCTGCCAAGGATATCAGAATGGCATTTTTGTGCACACACATTCCTTAACTCCTGCACAACATACTAGCTCTTAAATACTGTATGTAATGTCACTAACCTGGACCTAGTATCAAACCCAAGAGTCATCTTCCATCAGAGCCTTCTCACACTTCTCTTCATGACAAATTTCCTTTTAAGGTATTCATATAGCAAATTGCTACATCTCCCATTGACATTATTCACAAATCAATTAATTATCAATAATAATATATATATATATTTTTTTTATTGTGACTTTTATTAATCTTAGTCATCACATTATCTTTCCTATTTGATCACATTTGCAAAGGTGATGTTCAATGCAATTTTAAGTTATACTCAAACATACCACATCTTTTAAATCTTTTTTTCAATAAATGATTGTTTGTATATACTGAATTGAAAAGAACCCCATATTAATACAATTCTGAATTAGAGAGTCCCATTTACCAACATACAGTATGTTGTTGCTGAGTATGAAGGAATTATCATACAGTTTTAGTTTTGGATAGAGTTGGGGAATGGTTAAAACCTCTCTGGGTTTCTTTTATGTATTTATTTTTTTATTTTTTGCTGTATTTTCAAATTTGGGAGATTTGGCTTCACGACCTATCCTGGGGATATCCACAGGATGAGGAAAAAAATTCTCCAAAGTGAGACAAAAAATTCTTAGACAGTTATCAGCAGAACATCAGTGTCCGCATTGAAACATTTCCACTTACCTCCTCCACTTATGACAAATGTAACATTTTGAATTTCTCGTCACCTTCTGTTCTCGTGGCATTAGTCTTCAGGGCTAGTGATGGGCTCATTGTTCGGGCTTGTTTGACTCAAACATCGGCAGTTCTTGTGTTCAGCGAACACACGAACTGTCAGGGCACCCCACACATGGTCAGGTCAGGTGCAAGACTTTGCTCAGTCAGGGCACGGAAAACTGTGAGAGCCATGATTGGGCAAAGTCATGATGACTTTGCCCAATCATGGTTTACTTGTTACAACTGTAAACAGTTGGGTGTAGCTAGCTGTCACTGCTAGCTCCGCCCAATTGTTTAAAAAATTGCTGGCATCTGTCAAAATGCTATTTTGTGGCAGGTGTTCGTCACAGTGAACCCCACACACTTTATTTGTTTTTGTTTTTTTACATGCGGTCCCTCCTAAAATTCCTACCAGACCTCAAGGGTCTGGTATGACTTTTGGGGGGAACCCCACACTTTTTTTATTTTTTTTAAATGGGGTCCCTCCTAACATTCCTAACAAAAGTGACCTAAAGGGTCTGGTATTGTTTGGGAGAGGGAACCGCACACTTTAAAAAATAAAAAATGTATTTCTTTAGAAATTACAGTTTTGCTGCAGCAGGTTCTATACATTGTAAAGATGTGCCACTTTACAGGTAGTTTAAGGGGACCCCCTAGGCACAATATTTAAAGGAATTTTTCATGTTTATTGTTACCCTTTAAGTGATGTTAAAATCACTGCTCCTTTAAAAACTGTATTTTTTAAAAGTTTTTTTTTCATTGAATAATATCCCCCAGGGCAGTACCCGAATCCCCATACACTTTTTATGGCCAATAAATTGCATATAAGGCTTCAAAATGGAGACATTTGATTTTCAATGTTCTAGCACCATAGACTTGCATTGAGTTCGAGTTCGAATTCAAACTTTTCCCATGTTCGAAAGTACGAATTCGAACTGAACAGGGGGATGTTCGGCCCATCACTATTCAGGACAAATAGAAAGGATTTATCTCTGCAGTGGAGGCACAGACAGCAAAAAAACCCTGTTGGATTCCAACACTTCCCAATTCTATCCAAAACTAGAAAGTTACAACTGAAAACAGAACATTCAGATAACATTAGGAAGGGATTTGCTATCAAGATTTTACAATACAATGCCATGCACTTTGATTTTTGAGGCCACAAGACATAAGACATGGAACTGATTGCTTGTAGTTGAGGGTGCTATGATGGCCAGACAGGATATCCTGTTGTCACACCACTTACACACACAATGATGCCCAACCTCACAGAGTAACCATCACTTGACATGCATTGGGGATAACCAAGATAATGAACAAACCACTGTATCACTTTATTTAAACACATTTGGGATATGACTGGTACGGCCATTAATGTGTAAACACCAGGCTCAAAAGGGCCGATTTATTAAATGTGGAGCAAGAAATGAACACAAAAGTAGATTGGTTGCTATATCAGCCAATCAGGTTCCTCCTTTTTTGTGAGAAAAATAAAATTAGAATTTTTATTGATGTAAACAGCAACTATTAAACAGCTGTCTGTCTAAGAAATACAGGCCTGGAACAAGATTCCTCAAGAAGCCTTCAAACATCGTTTTGATTGCATGAGAAGCCAATTGTTGTCAAATGTTCATAGAGGCCAAACCTTTTTGACTTTTGCTGAATAGTAGTAAACATTTAGGCAGTTTTTAAATATTTTAAAAATATAAATATTTTACAAAGTGTATGGATGTTTTCACCTGTATATTAACTCCTAGTAGTCTTTTGAAAGAACAGAAAAGTGACTATCATTTTGTTTCTGCTTTTTTAACAGTTGTACAACACATAAAAAGGCACAACATCGTCCTAAAGAGAGAACTGGGAGAAGGAGCATTTGGCAAAGTGTTTCTTGCAGAATGTTATAACCTGTACCCAGAGCAGGATAAAATCCTTGTGGCAGTAAAGGTAAGATTGCTATCATATCTATCTAGCTACATATAGACATATGTCTAACTACTTCAACAAATCTGCAATAAAAGAAATCCCCAGTTTGAGATTAAACTTTTTTCAGTCTCAGATGGTGGCCTCTTTCACAGGAAAGTACACTATCCTTTTCAGTTAGTGTCCGAAATCACACACATAACCATGCTCTAACTCTTCCCTTGTTTTATAACCAGAAAACTGCCAAGTCGTTGCTTATGAGAAAAGGTTGAGTCTCTCTGCTAGCTAATATCAGGGATTTTTTGTGATGGGCGTAACTACAGCCATAGCAGCTTGTACAAATGCAATGGGGGCACTGAGAGTAGAAAGGGCCAAGTCCATTTTTCAAAAAGATTGGAAAACTACTGTCTTAAGTTGAGCAATGCAAACTTTTCCATCATTGATGGTGCATTGGTCAAACTGCACAAACCAGCTTAGTTTTAGCTGGCTGCAAGGGAGAAGCTCTTATTCTCTTATTCCTTGGTACACAGCACAGCAATGACTCGTGAGGATAAAGCATAGTTTTTGAGCAGCCCTGCCTGTATATGAAGACCATGCAGAGACTTACAAAGACTGTCTGGCTACAACTTGTTAGTGTCCAGTTGAAGTGGCCACCGATGTTAAGGGGTATAACATGGAACCCAGTAGGGGTGCATTATAGACCAGCTGCCTTTGACCACCAGTGTTAAAGTCATATAAATAGGGGTACTTGCCTGATATTGATAGGACCCCTTCAAAATATTGCTATGGGGCTTTGTAATTTCGTACAGCTCTGTTATATATTTATATCAATTGGAAATTAAATACCATATTGTATGCAAAAGATATATTTGATAACAGACTTCAATTTGATATAGCAATGCAAATAGATAAAGGTTGATTTTTAAAACTGTAGCCCAGTATCTTCATCATATATAACAATCCAACAGTAATAAAATGTTAAATATCTTAAATGCACTTAAATGCGTAATTAGTAGAAAGTGCACAAAAAGCAATATAAACACTGAACAGAGCCAGGAAACCCTTCCAATATATATATATGATTTGGAATATTATCTCGTTGAGCTTTTTTTTAAGCATATACTCAAGAAAAGCAGCATGTCTACCAAATGAATTAAATGTATGAGTAGTGTGTGTATATAATATATGTAGGTAGTAATAGTTTTCTGTGGTAGGAGGATTTAAATACCCGACTACAATTTTTTTGGTTGTTTTATTTCAGTTGTGTTTGATTACCGTGTAATCTGACCAATCAAACCTTTTCAAGCACTTTGTTTTTTAATATAACCATGCATTCTAACACATATTATAAAGAATCCTAGCCCACATAATTTAGCTTTTCCTTTTGTAAAGTAATATTTTCTGTAGGATGGTACAGGTTTTCAGAGCAGAACATCATGTAACCTATCAATTAAATTGAATGGATAAGATGAGGGAAATGGGCTGAGTGGGAGGTATTGTGTTTTTCCTATGTGAAATGATCAACACAGGCAGCATCCCC